TGCCTCTGTACTGATGAGAAGGGAGTTCCCCAGCCTGTAGCTTTGGTGTTGGTTCTTCCTCCCCAGGTGCAGCACCATGCACTTGTTGGTGTTGAATCCCATCCTATTCTTGTTCGCCCATCCTTGTAACCTGTCTAGGTCTGATTGCAGCCTATTCCTCCCTTTCTAGCGTGCTCACATCCCCCCACATCTTAGTGTTGTCAGAAAATTTGAACAGGGTGCTTTTTACCCCCTCGTCCAAGTCACTGATGAAGATGTTGAACAGTGCGGGCCTGAGGTCTGAGCCCTGGGGGACCCCACTTGATGACCTTGTGGGGTTCCTTCCAGTCCTACTTTCCTTTGATCTTATGAGTCGATACCAAGTCTTTGTGCCTGGGTGGAACATGCCTGTAAGTGCCACAAGGGTGCCAAGTGTTGAAAGCAGAACCTCTGGGACCCAGCATTAGACATGAGTTAATTAATCAATAACCCCAGAATTACCATGAGTGCATATCTAAATGTTCAGGAACATGTAGAATGCACAGGGCTTGTACTTTATAACACCAGTTAACCCATAACACCAGATAATAAAAGCGTGAGAAGGCTTCAGCCTCCATATAGAGGCTGGAAAAACTATTAGAGAAACCTGTTGTTAAGAGAGCCATGACCTCTAAATGAATAGATCATGTCAGGCTGAGTGAAGTTCAAAGGGGAACATTATGTAATGAACTGTTACTGATCAAATTTTTGTTTGTAGAGCAGCAGGAACTCCATTACAACTGGGTTATAAAAAGGATGTCTGGAAGGAAGAGGAAAGACAGATAACTAAGAAGGCCTGTTAGACCAGGGGCGGGCAAAATATGGTCTGCAGGCTGGATTTGTCCCACCAGGCACTTTGATCCTGCCTGTGGGCACCCACCAGTTAATTGTACCCTGCCCAGCCTGCTCACCTCACTCCCACCCTCATGTGCAAAAGGGTATGGGCAGCCAGCTCGCAGCTTCTGGGTGGGGCTGCTGCTCCCACTGCTGCAGCTGCTGACAGACCTGCTTGGCTTCCCTGGCATCCTGCTCAGTCCGAGCACCAGGTAGGGAAGTGGCAGGGGTAGGAGCTGCAGCTGGGTGGAAACATGAAGCATAGGGCTGCAGCCTTGTGGCAGTGTGGAACACGTGCCCACAGAGGCGGTGGAAATGTGGAGCTCAGGTGGGCAGCGTGTGGGTGAGAGGGAGGGTGGGGGCATTTGGGGACCACCCATACACTCCACCCCATGATGCACAGCCCCTGCCATCAGGGGCAGCAGCAGCAGCAGCAGCAGGCATCAGGCGCTTGGGGCTCTTGTGGCCTGAGCAGGCACTGCTGCCTGGTGGTGCACAGTTCCAGCCAGTGCTACACATGGGGGCAAAGAGCACAGCTTGGCTGGCCCATCTCTATCGTGCAGGGCTCTGTGCAGTACATGTGCAGCTCCTGTACTTGAGCGCCACCGGAGGAAGCCCATGTGATGGAGCTGGCTGCCTTTGCTGCCCCCTGCCATGCAGGTCCCAGGTTTCTGCTGGGAAGACGAGCCTCCCCTCCATTTCTGGTGGAGTCCCGGGACCTGCACAACAGGGTGACATGCAAGTGAGGTAGCTGCTCATACACCGTCTGGAGCTCTGCGCGATAGAGACAGGCCAGCCAGGCTGTGCTCCTTGCCCTCACATGCAGCTCTGGCTGAAGCCGTGTGCTGCCGGGTGGCAGCACCTGTGTGGGCCACAGGCGCCCCAAGTGCTCACCGCCTGCTCCTGCTGCCAGTGGCAGGGGGTGTGCGCCATGGGGAGGAGAGTGTGGGGGGGTCCCCACACCCCCCACCCTTCCTCACACACCACAAATGCCATGTACCCACATCCTGCCCCCACATATACACCTCATAATACCCTATTGCCCCCTTACCCATGCAGCCACACCCCCCCACACATCCTTCACACCCCACCATATGCACACACCCAGCCCCAACCACACCTCCCACTCCCCACCCTACATCCCCCCACACACTATATACAAGAGTAAGACTTTATTTTTGAGTTATTATGCAACCACCCCTATACACAGTATGCAAACTCAAATCATGACAAAAATATTTTTGTAATAAAATTAAAATGTATTATAGTAGGTATTTGACTTTTAGCATATGATTTGGGTTTTTTTCTGTTTCCAAGATGGCAACCCTCCCCTCCAAAAGGAGCACTTCTGGGGGGCAAGGGGAGGGATTTCTGGAGGCAAAGGTCAAGGGTTAGGGGTGGGATGGCACCTGCCAAGATGGTGACCAGAGGGCAGGGCACCTGTCAAGGGACAGGGCCCTCAACAGCTTGCCGAAACTTATTAAGCGGCCCTCTAGCCAAAATTATTTCCTGCCCCTGTGTTATACCCTGTTATCCCCAGCCCCCAAGACTCTTTTGTGGGGTCCTTAAAACATTTCTCAGGAGATGCAAAGCTCTGACAAAGCAAGTTGCTGTGGCACAGAATGGCTATGTACAGACAATCAAAAAGCCTGAGGCTGAATCGATTCAGTCTTTGCAGGTTAGTTTAAACTGCAGAGATTAAACTGAGAAACAACTGGACACACATTCACTTTTGATTCAGGAAATTGCAGCCATATTCCTGCAATGACTCATGCCAGAAACCAGGGGGTGCTAAAGCATGGCTCCCTGGCATGTACCCAGCATGAGCTGTGTGTTCACTTCCTCTCCCTGCTGCCCCCATGGTCTCTGGGATTTGCAGTCCAGAATTACAACAACAGGACTCTGCAGTCATCACTTCCTCTTCCTGCTTCTAGGCACCCCTGGGATTTGTAGTTGACAGTCACAGCCAGCAGTAACTTTCAGTAAGTTTAGCAGGGCAGGACAGCTCTGTACTCAGGGGAGTGGGGTTTAACAAGGGGAAAAGAGGTTTTAACCCCCCTCCCTGGCCCCAGACCCTAGCCAGGTTTTGCCTGGGGGCGGGGGGGGGGTAGTCCCTATGTTTTCCCCCTCCCCCCAACACTTTTCTGCTGGATCAGACAGCACAGCCCAGCCCAGGGTTGGAAAGCATGCTGGGATGTTGGAGACTCTGATTTAACTTGAGCCAGGAAGGGGTCTGGCACAGAAGTTTCATAAACTGGTTTGAGCCAAATGAGTTATGTCCGGTACTACATCCTACCAGGTTCACTTTAAACCAGTTTCAGCCATTTTGAAACTAGTTTCTGTGCACTGAACTTCTGTTCTGTTACAGGTGTAAACCAATTTCTGATGACGTCAACCAGTTTGTGTGTAACTTCTGCCCCTATTCAATGTGGTTTGCTTGGAAACTTCCAAGCATGCTGCTGGGACTGGAAAGACATCCAGACCACTCCTTCCAGCAGAGGAGTGATCATCCATTTCTGCATCCTTATAGTATGATACCGAACCATTTGATTCGGGGGGATTCATTCATACTTGCGGACCAGAAAGACTGCCTGCCAAAACAAGGCTGGGAGAGCCAGGCAATTCTTGCTACAGGATTGTTCACCAGGCTCTCTAATCCAACGGGCTTTCTTTCCGGGTGTGCTCCGGGAAGATTGCTCTCCAGGCTAGCAGATGAGATGTACATCCCTCAGTTCAGACACTGGTGGCCAGTGGCAGCAGTACCGAATCTCATAGCCCAGGGGTGTCAATCCCCCCCCTCCTTGTGGACCGGGTCCGGCTAGAGGACTGGGCAGCGGGGCGAGTGGCACCAGGGTTCACGCAGGCGTCCCCCGCGGGGCGCTGAGCCCCAGAGTGTGGTGGTGGGCGCCGCTCCCCCTCCTCCCAAATCCCCGGCTCCTCTGCCCGCCGCAGAGGCTGGATCCAGCCGAGGGGCGGTAGTTTTGACAGCCCTGCCCCGAGGACCCGCATGCTTCCCGTGCCTGGAAGCAAGGCACACGGGCACGGGCCCCGCAGGGTGATCGGCGCCCCGGCTGCCTGCAGGGCCATCGCCCCGCGCCCGCGCCCCGCACTCACCCTCCCGCTGCCTCCGCCGAGCCGAGCCCCGCGCCAGGCGCCCGGGCGCTGTGTGCGGGGCGAGGCAGGAGCCGGGCCCCCAGGCAGAGGAGGAGGAGGCGCAGGAGGAGGAGGAGGAGGGAAGCAGCAGCAGCCCTGAGTGCAGAGGGGCCGCGCCCCCCGCCCCCTCATTCCTGGCTGCTGGGCG